CTCATGCTGTCTCTCATTCTCTCTCTCGCAAATAAATAAAATCTTAAAAAAAAAAAAAAAAAAAAAGATTACAAATGGGATTAATTATATTGAAATACAGTTCTATTCTCAGTATCTCCCTCCCCCCAAGAACTACATATTTAATCTGTCTCCTTGTAAATTGTTTAATTTTTGGGTCCCCAGAATCTATCTAGTGCAGACTTGGCACACTTGAATTTTAATTTTTTAAATTTCATTAGGAGACATGAGAACCATGCTTTTTATCATATGATCAAATTACCTTTTCCTACCTGAATCTTGATTTACTTAGGTTCTCCCACCTTAATTTCTTTTTAATTTTGTGGCACTTCCATGTTACTTTAACAATTTAATTTTTTAATATCTTTATTTTCATAGAATACCATTAATACTAGTATCCATTTCCAAACATTTGGGTTAGTTTTCAGGAGTACCTGGGGACAGGAAGGGACAGTGATTAGTTTTATTTTGATTTTACGTTTCCATTATGTTTCTCAGAAAACCATCATGGTTAACTCAAAAAATTTCTTTCAGTCAGAGATTTTTAAGCACACTTGAAGAAAAAACTCATGCCTGCCAAAGTTTAGTCATGCACTGGTGGAATTTAGCAAAGTTGGATATTGTATGTCATTCCTTTCAAGATAGTACAGGCTTTGGAAAAATTGTAGTAGTGGAACATATTTTTGTCTTTAAACAGCTAGAATTTCTTTTGCTTTAGGAAATTCTTTATTTAATGGTTGTCTTAGATCTTCACTGAGATGCAGTGGTCATCAGCCTGAGTCCCCTGTGTGGTGTACCGGGCTCTCCAGGGAATTGAAAGCAGCAAAGATGAGTGATGTCCTTTCGGCATTCTAAGATACATATTTTGAATTATGTGTCTCCCTCCACTTTGGCCCATAGCATTTGAAGCTTTTGATATAATTTGAGTTGTGTATTCATGTATCTATAACTTATCTGTTTAGAAAAAACAATAATAAAAGAACTTACTTCGGTGGTCTGTGCCTTAAAACTACTGGGTTGTCTGTTCTGTGCCTAGGCCAAAACAACTCCATGAAATCCCAGCCTTTTACTGTCCTGACAAAAACAAAGTGAATTTCATTCCTAAAAGCGGCTCTGCCTTCTGCCTCGTCAGCATCCTCAAGCCACTCCTTCCCACACCAGATCTCACCCTCAAGGGCTCTGCCCACAGTCTGACAGTTACCACTGGTATGACCACCACTCTGCTGCAGCCTATTGCTGTGGCCTCCCTGTCTGCAAACACAGAGCAAGACCGAGTCTCTCGAGGAACGAGTACAGTCATGCCATCAGCCTCTCTCCTCCCACCGCCAGAACCCATTGAGGAAGCTGAAGGATAGGTGTGACCGTTCTTCTGGGCAACTGAGAACCTCCTCAGATCATTTCATTGTGGAGGCATCGCACGCTCCCAGTTGGCTGTGAAGTGCTCCGGCTTTCTGCGGCGACGAGTCACAGTGTGACTCTGGAAGAAGGCAGCGCCCTCTGACAGCTTTGCTCACTCATGAAGGCCAGCCCTCATTGCTTAGCCTGCTTTTTCTGAAAGCACCGGTTGAAACAAGAACGGTCTCATTATTTACTTTTGGAGGGCCGATATCATACCGTTTTTTGTTTTCAAATTAAACTTCTTAAAAAAAAAAAACAACTGATCCCTGCAAAATAATTCCTGAAGGGAGACATGAATGATGCTGCAAGAACCATCTTTTATATGAAAATGACTATTTTATAATACCAATGTTACATTTTCTGAAATGGAGCAAACAGGATGTTCAAAGATTCTTTGGTGGCCTCTTGTTTCTTGTTTCCCTTTCTAGGTGTGTGCTTTTCTCAGCTGTTTTCAGCTTTGGGACCAAAGGGATTGTTGACATTTTCCCAGCAGTCTTAATCTCATGACTATGTTCTTCTCCCAAACAAGAATTGATAGGTAAATGCATTGAACAAATATATAACAAGAGATAAAAAGCAATATTAAATATTAGTACATTATGTGGTTTATGTTTTTTGATGTCGGAAGTTTGTGCTTTGGGTGAAATACTTGTAAAACTGCTGTTTTCTTCACTATACTTGTACACATTTCACCATGTGGTCAGAAAAATTATAGTCTGGAGACAAGTGCTTTAATATGTTCTCACCCATCATTGGAACTTGGTTGAAAAGTCAGTGAGCCAAAAGGAAACTACCCAGTGTTGATTGCTAGCTAGGAGTAAGGAGCCCCTTTGGTTTTCTACAAAATACTTACCACATGATCTCCCTTTATCATCACTGTATCATAGTTCTAAGAGGTCCTAAAATGACTGTGCATGGATTTCCTCCTTTGCTTTTGTGATGTTGTTGTCTTGTGGAATTGGTCAGGGTTAGTAGTTTGCCAGGAGTGTAATCCATTGAATAGCAATCCGGAGTCACAGATTCTTGCGACTGACATTTTCTTTATGGTGGTTGGCACTGAGATATGTTGCTTACAGATTTTGCTAGTTTTCCTCCAGCATTCCACACAGTGGGGAAGACAGGCCAGGAGAGCTTTGGAGCATATAAACAACAGGGATCTTTGAAAAATCCGTACAGTTTTGGATTTAGGCTCAACTTAATACAATCACTGCCAGTATCACCTGGCAACAGTATTTCATGTTTGTGTGTGTGGTAGTGAAATTAAGGAGCAGCTCTTTTTAAAAATGAGTTTCTGCAAACAGTATTGATAAAAAGCATCCTTCTAAGATCTTCATATACTACCTATGATGCAATAATTTAACGTTCCTATACGTATTATAGGGAGAAAGAAATTTAAATACTTGTAAAGGGGATACAGTTTAGAAGGTTTAATATGTCAGTTCTGACATATACCATCAGGGGAAACCTAGTGGTAGCAATAAATCTTCTGAAAGGACTTCTTACACTCATGCACCTTTAAAACATCCAAGTAATTAAAATTATGCCCTGTGAAGTTTAAAATGGAGATGTATTTAGGCAAATTAGATAAATTCAAACATTTGAATAAGTCTGTCAGGTTTCAGTTGGTAGCACTGATGAATTTTGGTACCTTCTCCATCCAAAACTAATTTACTTGGAATTAGTACATTGTGGCTTCTCAATCAGTAAAACTCAGTTATTCAGGATCTAAATTTTCTGGTTGGTTGGTTTCTTGAGAACCTTGATTCTTTGCCTTATTTGTTATGTGTCTTGACTTTACCATTTCACCGCTGAGAACTGCTCTATCAAAAGTACAGAAGAAAAGGTAAAACTCATCAGGGGAGTTGGTATGAATGGGAGGAGGAGGAAGTTAAAAACAAGTTTTAAAAAACTCAGTTTTGGGGCGCCTGGGTGGCTCAGTTGGTTAAGCGACTGCCTTCGGCTCAGGTCATGATCCTGGAGTCCCGGGATCGAGTCCC